TGACTTTTTCCCGTTTTAATATTTTATTTTAATTCTGAATGAAATTGGTCTCTTCAGTTTTTTTCGTAAAATAAAACATATTTTATTGCAAGTTGTGTACTTCTAATTTCTATAAATGTAAATATTTCTAAATAAAATATAACCTCAAATTTCTAGTATCAATATCTTTGAAATTCTTTGAAATAATAAAAATAAATAAGAAATTAAAATTTAAACACTGTATCTCGGAAACGAACCATATTTCGACCTACCTAGAGCACCTAATTCACTTTTAGCAAAGATCAATACTTAAATGTAGCCACGATAGTTAGATATTAACTATTTCTGCATTTTGAAGATTGATTTTTCAAGTGGGTTTCTTATAAAAAAAAATATAAAAAATATTAATAGAATAAAATTATATTTAAAAAAGTTTAATATTTTACAATATTTCGAATTTATTTGAATTAACCTAACACCTTTAAAATAAAGTAAGACACGCTATTTTGTTGTGAATACTGTTTTTTTATGAGTAATCGTAAAACACCCTGTATACGACACTGTCCGGTTCTCTTCTAGGAGCCGGCCTGGCCACGAGCGTCAGCTCGCACGCTCTGGGCGAGTGCAGCCCCCCGATTTCCCCCATAACCATGTCCCACACGACGCCCAGCATCTACCCCACCAACACCATGGTGGGACACAACTCCTACCAGACGGGCACCACCAGCATCTCCTGCGGCTACCTGCCTTCCAATCCGGTGGGGGTGAGCAGTTACAATCCCAGTTCTACGCAGTACAACAGCCTGGGTCACCACTACACCAACAAGTCCAGTTTGATGGGCGCCACCATGAACAGTCTGGGACACGGGGTGGGTATGGGCACCACCTTGGGACAGAGCAGCGTACTGGGTAAGTGAAAATTGGCTCCGTCTTAATTTGGACTCATTAATATAGGGTGTCTCGATATTCCGTACAGGGGTGTGACTCATAATTCTATTTTTAGTAGACCTAATTTCAAATAACATGGCTTTTACCCAAAAATTATACAAATTTAATAAATTACAAAAAGTTATTACAAAATACCGATTTTCATGTCTTAACTTCAAGGGTTAATATAATACTACAAAAAAAAAGAAAAAGAAAATGTAGATTTGAGACATTATTTTTACAGTATCTCTCCTAATTTGAAAGTTCATCATTCGCTGTATAGCGGCTAATTAATTTCAACACTTTATATCCTAATTAATCATTTATGAGTGATTTATTTTTGGCACTCAATATTTAGTTAATTAGAAACCAAGTCTGAGTAAAAAATGACTCAATAATTGTTCAATTTAAATCATATTAGAGAAAAAGTCAACTCTAAATTGGTTTTATATACTCAGAATTGTCAAGTCACTCAATTGATAGTTAGCAGTACCGAATTTCAGTAAAACTCACTCATTTCTGAGGCAATAGTTTCACTCAGTTGTACTCACACTAATAGAGTGAAAATTTCACTCAATGGGGTGTGGACAGAAGTTGATACATTATTGAGTAAAATTGAGTGAAATTTGAGTGAAATTTTTTTACAGTGTAGAAATTTGATATTAATAAACTTATTTTGTATATTTTTGACTGAAGAAAAAATTTGATAATTACCAGTAATTTTTATGAAGGGACATTTAATTGCAGGTTTCTGGAAAAAATTATTTTGTTTTTTATGAAATGTATCACATTTTTAATGACAATTAAATCAGAGTTGTAACAGAAATGCATTGATAATAATTAATAAAATAATTAATTCAGCTGAAAGTATTAGAAAACACAGAAAAAAGAGGAAAAAATGTAAAAAGTACCAAATATAAAAACTAATCTGAAACATGAAAAAAAAAATTGCATAATTTATTTAAATCGATTTAAATTTAAAATAAAGCTTATCTAAGTTACTTACAAAAAACTAAAACATTTGCTAACTTTAACATACTCTAGATTCAAGAATCTTCATTAGATCCGCGTAGCAGTAATATTGAGACACCCTATATTTAATATACAGGTTGTTAATTATGTGCGCAATCTGTGAGGAATAAATCTTGATTTTAAGACAAAAAAATTCATGTAAACATATCCTGTAGGCCCGTAATGTCTCTGTTTTCGTGTCACAGTTTGTTAAAATAATGCACGTATTTTCTAAATTTCTAAATTTTTAAAGGCCATTTGAACTCCTAAATTTGTTCAAAAATGTGTTTTGAAAATTTTGCCCCATATCCATTAAATTAAACATAATATAATAGGTATTTGCAGCATGTCATAAAAAAAACTTTTTTTTCAAATTTTAACATGAAATCTATAAAAGATTTATTCCTTAAGTTTTATGCACACAATTAACACCATGCACTTGCGATAATTTTGGATACAAATATTTTTAGGAAGAAAAAACCAACTTGTCACGTTCCTACCTCTTGATTTTTGGCTTCCAGGTACTTCCTTGGCCCAAAACCTTACCTCCATGGGCGGCGGAGTCATGGGCACCTTACCATCGAGCCTGGGTACATCCTCCATGGTCCCCCCGACCAGCTACACTCAGAGTTCGATACCCAACACCACGTTCGTCAACCCCCTGTCGTCCAACCCCTCGGCCCTCCAACAGACCTCCTTCAACAATCCCACGTTCAGCAACCCCGTCACCAGCACCCTGAACCAGTACAGTTTGCCGTACAGCAACCCCATCAATCCCGTCACCACCACTTTCAGTAACAACAACGTCACTTTCTCGAACCCCCTGAGTTCCCAGTTTAACAGTTTGCCCCTGACCGGAGGCCCGATGAGTATCAAACTGAAGCCGATAGACGATGTAGATCTTGGTGAGTGTAATTTTTATTCATTCATTTCTCATAATGTTCTGATAATATATTCACTTGAATTTGTTGTAAACGCCCAAAAGAGACGGCAAGCACTGTATTGTTTAATTTCTCGAAGTACCAGTTTCCAGCTTAGGCGTTTCCTTTCGTGTCATATGCGTGCAAGAGGTAAAACGCGTTATTATCTTCACAATTTAGTTATCCCAGTAGTTTTTAAAATGGATTCGTTTGTGAGTGTTCGAAGCAAATCTGTTAACAATAATCAGTGTAGTCGAAAGCGAGCAAATTACAATAAAAGGGGTGATATAAACTGTCACTTTGTTACATCAAAATTTTACAATCATTGCTGAAATGCGTTGTATAAAACGAACAAACAAAACTGTTCGAAATACAGACATATAAGAACAACATAATATTACATATACAGGGTGTTGAACTTATGTCAAAAATTTAAATGGGTGAAAAAGGAGCAAAAACTGAGTCAACTGTTGTCACAAACTTGTATCGGAAGTTTAAGGTCATTGCCAAAAAAGCTAATTAAGAATGTGTTTAAAACTGTTTTGGAACTGCTGAAATACATGTGTTTTATAGCGGAGAGTACTTACAAAAAATTCTGTAACACTTTTTACGAGTTTGTAGGTTTCTTATGAAGCCGAACTGTATTCGAAAGTCAGTTTGTAGTACATTGTTGTAGTGATTGCTGTGCTGTTTTTCTAGAATACATTTAATAGCCGTATTTTCAAGTTTTCTTTTGGAAATGACACATTTATTTAGCAATCGCGAATATTATATGTTCATAATTTATGGCGAAGCAAACGAAAATGCCCATAGAGCTTGTCAAGTGTACCGTGCAAGATGTCCTTAACGACGTGCTCCCGCACCACGAACATTTGTTGGACACCAGTGAAGTACAACCGCGTCGAGGTCGTGACGGTGGCCCAGGGTGACCATAAGGACCTTAAATATCGAGGAAATGATTTTAGATTTCGTCGAAGAATATCCGCATCGTAGCACCAGAAATATCGCACACAAGTAAATATTTCGCACACTTTTTTCGGAGAGTGCACGACTTTCTAAACATTACTTTTTCCGATCGCTGGATAGGCTGCGGCAGCCTAGTTAGATGGTCCCTCCGGACCCCGGACCTCACCCCTATAGACTCCTTTTTGTGGGGATATGTGAAAAGTTTGTGTATTCCACGGAAGTTCGTGACATCGACCAAACTGCGACATTCGACCAAACTGCGACATCGATTCGAGAGGACGTGGCAATGTTGCAACGCGTGCGAGCGAATTGGATACGTCGCGCTGAAGCTTGTGTGCAAGCAAATGGTGGATACACCGAACATCTTCTATGAAAATCCGCAGTTCGCAAAAGGTGGCTCCTTGCAATGTTGAGTTACTCCAGATTTTAAAATTACATTTTATTAAACACAAATCCGAGTATTTACCTCATTTTGACATAATGGATATGTGGCAAAAATATATGACAAGTTCATTAACACTCTGTATAAGTCCTGATAAATCTGATGATTAGTACTGGAAATATCCTATTTTACAAGGAATTACTTTGTAAAACAATTCCAAATGTCCCAATTTCCTGCAAATGTAGTTAATTTCCTGTACAATCCTGGGACGGTTAATGAAATAATTTGCATAATGTTGTATAAAACACGCTAATTGTTAAATAAAAACAAATTTGGTAGGTAAGACAATCTCTAAATTTGTGCCTATATGATTTCGATGAAATTATTTTGAGTTTTACCATTTTTCCATTCGCCATTGGTAATAACACAACCTTATATTACTGATTCCCTTTCCTGACATGGATGTAATCTACGTGATTCGACTGCAGATGAAGGAAAATTCATTAGAGATTCACCTTTCATTGATTAAAACCTAGAGACGTTTGTCTCTTAATTTTAAATTCAAATAAACCAGCTCCACTCTGCCTCTCCTGGCGTCTTCCTTTCTCTCCTTCGCGGCATTCCCCCTCTGTCCATAGAATAATGTTTGAACCGATGTTAAAAATAAATCATCGATAAATTCAGTAATAGCTCTCTTTATGCGACAACTTCAAGGATGCGAAAAAGATCCTTATAAAGGATGTACCGAAAGAAACGCAGGATTTCATATGAGGGAAAAAAATGTATTAATTAAAAAGTGGGCAAAGTTTTTACATGTTTTTAAAGGGTAAACATTGCCATTTGGCATACTCGATTTATTTTAAGAAAATTCTGTATCGCGCTTTTGTCTACCTGCGGCTGAATTTCTTTGTAAACTCTCCAAATTTCTGCCTTTAATTCAGGAATGGTATTCATTTGAGGACAAGAAACTTTGGACCGAACCTGTTTGGCAACTTCTTACAGTTGTTTATTCGGGGCGTTCTTTCTGTCGAAAATTCCACGTAATTGCGCACAGTCTCAGCTACACACTCTCCGGAATTAATTTTTACAATCTTCATTCGCTCTTCCGTCGTATAGCGCTTCATTTGATCTAACGCAACATGTTGACTACTGAAGATGGACTGTGGTAGTTCAAACGTACTCTTCCTGTTTTAAATATATTGGACAACTTCCGCTTCTATACGTTTTCTCGTCTCTTTAAGGTACTCGACGGGTGGCCACCCCGGTAACTCCCCATCCGCCCCCATGGGGCGGCACTACCATGTCTGGCATAACGGATCTAAGACCCAGGATGCTTACCGACGGCATGGACTCGGACTGGAGCGGCTTGCACGGTGGTACCGATAGGAATTACTTGAATGGGCACAATCCCGTCTCCAGCGAGGGTCAGGTGGACATGCTGGACATCCCCGGGAAAGGCAGGTGCTCCGTCTACATAGCAAGGTGAGAATTCAAGTAGCAACTGTTAAGTAAGTAAAAAATAAAAAACATTATAATTATTTTTTAATACTAGTATCATAAATACTTTGCCTTTATCAGTATTGCCAAATTCGACATTATATTAGAAAAAACATTCTGTTTTAGTGAAATATTGAATTCCTTATCTGGCATGTAAGCGGATAATGTCTATTTTACATTGTAATGTGTTTCAGATATCCGCTATCATTAGTGTGTGTGCAAATAAATGATATCGATTCTATGTAGTGCGTTTATAAAGTATCATTTTAAACAAAATTATTGTTTTACCGAAATTATTCAGCATGAAAGTTTCAAACTCTTCAATATCATTCAAATAATGAGGGTCCCAAAATTCACGCAAGAAGTAATTTTGATAGAAAACACATACGCACTCTTTTGTCGAAATTTTCCATGATTGTTTTGCATAAATACGATTAAATTTCGTTGATACAGCGCTCATTTCCTCCCCCAAGGGTGGTTTAAGCTTGTTGGTATAAACTTTAAACTTCCCAGAGGAAAAAATCCAACAGCGTTAAATCCCATGATCTGGGCGGGAAATTCTGATCACCAAAACGGGAAATTACACGACCAGTAAATGACTTGTGCAGTAATTGAATTGCTTCTCAGGCTGTATGGCGTGTTTTGTTGAAACCACATGTCGTCTACGATCATATCTTGTAATTTAGGCACAAAATACTGGATTATCAGTCCCGGTAACGAGTACCAGTAACTATTATTATCCTACCAGCCACAATTTCGGCCCACTGATGCCTCCAACTGAAAATCCGCACCAAACAGTGTCACGTTGTGAATGCATTTGTTTCTCAACGATTTTTCTGAACTCCAAATAAGATAACTTTGTCGATTAAAAAAGTCATCAAGATGAAAAAACGCCTCATCTCTGAAGATGATTTTGTTCGAAAAATCAGCATCCACTTGTTGTTCCATAATCCATTCAACGAACTCTCTTCCCTCTGCGTGGTCAGTAGGCTTCAGTTCTTGAGTTAACTGAACTTTGTAAACATGAAGATGCAAATCTTTCGTGAGAATCCGCTATAGAGAGCTTCTCGAAATGTCCAATTTTTGACCATGACTCTCAGCAACACTCTCACGGTTTGATTCGGTGTTTAGTATTGATTGAGCGACTTGTTGAAGGACGGCCAGGGTATTAAGATCATTAATTGATCTAGTTTCCCTGAATTTTTCAATTAATTTTTTCACGCTTAATGAAGTTAAATCACTATTTTGTACGATAACTGCGAAATATTCATTATTTTAAAAATATTGCTAAACAATGGAAACACGTTGTTCTTTGATGTAGTGCTGAATTGTCAGCTGTCAGCTGTCATGCTGTCTTTTTTTTCGTTGGCAACACTTTACCGCACAAATGGCGCAAAATTTAAATATGGCGTGAATTTTATGACACCCGATATATTATACATATATTATTATTATTTGCCTTTAAAAGTATCGCCTTCCTCTATACGTTCAATGGAGATTCTCAGTTGTTCTTAAATTGAAAAAAATTTGTACTTCGATAATAAAGTGATGAACCCGCTCCATTTTTTAAAGGATGATTTCTAATTCTACAAAAAGAACTTTTATGACAAAAAAAAATCGGATTGAAAGATGAAATTAGGGGTGGTCGGCTTTAAGGTCTGGAAAAGGGTTTGCTCATATTTTTTTTTTCCTAATCATTTGATAGATACAGAAAGCCATGTTTGTTATTTTTCAAGTTATGGCATTATAAAATTTGAAAAATTAAAAATTAAAATTTAAATAGGAAAAACAACAAAGAAAATCTAATTATGTGGAAAATAATAATTTATAATTTATCTACCACTTGTTTAGGAAAAAAAAAAATTTGCACATATAAAATTGGGGCATTCCATGCCAAATCGACCACTTTTAACCCTGAAACTATTTTATTGTTTTCTACCCCATTGAAAACCTGAGAATTTTTTCAAATTTTTTTACCCAACTCAAAAAAATATGAATTTTTGAAAAAAGTAGCTTCTCTTTAAATTACCATAATTATTTCAAAAATTGAGTTATCGGGACGTTTTTTTTTAATTTTTGTTTTATAAATGTACTTTTTGAAAAAAATAGATCAAAATTATCTGGACCTATCTTCACTGTTTTTTTTTCAATTGTTGAAAAAAACGAAAATTTCTCGATGATTACCGGTTTTGATTTTTTTTTTTTTCTTTTTAAAAACTGACATTTTTTATAAATCCTCAAATTTTTTCAGTGGTGTTTTTTCGTTTTCAATATTTTTTTATTGATTGAAAAAAAATAATTTCAAATTTAGCTTATTTCACATACCATTTTGAAAATTTTTGAAAATGTATATATGTAGAATTCCAAAATTGAAAAAATATATATGAAAGAAATAATTGAAACGTGAAAGAATTTCGATTCTTTTTGAAAAAGTTAAAAAAATAGAAAATCGTTTTGGATATTTTTTTGTATATTTTTTTCGAAAACCATCCAAAAACAAAGAAAATGACAAAAAAGTTGTTATTTGGTTAATTTTTGGACGAACAGTGGGTTTTAAAAAAGACGTAATTTGAACTCAAATAAATCATTTTGAAACTATCCTCTTTTGACTCGTTGAAATTGTCATCAATCGCTGCATAGAATAAGAACGATCGTAATTAGTGTTTAAAGATATCTTTTTCTCTTGAGAAATGACAACTAGCGACATATGTATTTATAATGCCCCTATTAATTCCGAAACAAATAACTGTTCTTCCAATAATGTGAGAAAAGCTAAATTTGAAAAAAAAATTCAATCAATAAAAAAAATAGAAAACGAAAAAAATACCACTGAAAAAATTTGAGAATTTTTAAAAAATGTCAGTTTCTTATAAGTAAAAAAAAAAATTTCAAAAATGGTAATAATCGAGAAATTTTCGTTTTTTTTTTCGAAAATTTAAAAAAAAACTGAAGATAGGTCCAGATAATTTTGATCAATTTTTTTTCAAAAAGTACATTTAAAAATAAAAATTTTGGAAAAAACCTCCCGATAACAATATTTGAAAAATTTTTGGTTGTTTAAAAAGATATTTTTTTAAAAAAATTCATAAAATTTTTTGAGTTGGGGGGGAAAGCTTGAAAAAATTTCAGGTTTTCAATAGAGTAGAAAACAATAAAAAAAAATTTCAGTTAAATCGAAAGCGGTCAGGGTTAAAAGTGGTCGATTTGGCATGGAATGCCCCATATACATACAGGGATACACCACAAACGACATATACACTCTTTTTTAAAGCTTCACCAACTCGGTGCCAGACATAAATATTAAATTAATCCAAAATAAATAAAATAAAAACAAAATTAAACCGTCAACGTTTTTTAAGTAGAATTCCGTCATGTTCCGAACGCTTCCGAAGTGCAACGGAGGTTAGCCACCGTTGTTTTAATGCAACGTCGCCTTTGAAAGGGGATACGCCGAATGTCCTCGCACCTGGTATAAATTCGTTCACTTAAAAACTCAATAAAACAATTTTTTTTCAGATTTTCGTATGATCCAGAGCCAGACGCAGAAGAAGAGCTAAGCATTCAGGCCGGGGATTATCTGCTGGTGTGGGGTGAACCCGTGGGTCCTGGTGGATACTTGGATGCGGAGCTGCTGGACGGTCGAAGGGGTCTCGTGCCGGCTCATTTCGTCCAGCGCCTCATAGGTAAGAAAGAATTCTATCGTGAAATATGGTTAGTTCGAGTGGGGCCTGCAACCCACTATACACTCGTATACTGGGTTGGCGAAAAGTGTATGATTATTATGAAAGTTTGCAACACACCATACATACTTGTGTATGGCGGGTTGCGATAAAAAAAGAATCCAAGGTATTGTGAAAAATGAGCGTCGGGTTAGTTACATAAAATTTAATTAAATTAGCATTAGAAAAGACAATATTAGTTGTGATTTTGCTGCTAATGCGTTTTTTTACAGGCGACGATCTGCTCGAGTTCCACCAGGCGGTGCTGAGCACCCTGAGGGAAGAGGAGATAAATCAGGAGAATTTCGCTGCCGACGTGCAGAGGTTGAACGAGCTGGCGGAGATGTCGGAGGCGCAGGAAGACGAAGGGCCGGAAGGTGAGACAGGTAGGCATTTTCCGCATGTTCTCGACTCATTTTGGTTGCATCATAATAAATGTTCAAAAAGTCAAATATAATCAGAATATGAACGAGATAAATAATTTATTGTTGTCAGGTTAAACAAAATCATTTTTCAAATCTCAGGTCTGCTTGCAAACGACGATAACTTTTTGTAAGTTAGAGAAAACAAGATGTTAAACACATCAAAAATTTCAAATTTCTTGTACGCAGACTTGCGACGTGAAATATTTTAATTTATAAATACATACAGGGTGCCACAAAAAAGAAAATAAAGCCGTTAGCCACAGAGGTTCTCCGCCAATAATAATTCGCTTGCAAACAGAACGGTACTTCACAACTGTAATAGTTTTCATTTCGTGCTTATCATTCGCGGTTAAATTTTGTTGCCTTTGTATATGTTAGCTACTAGCTCTGATTAATCTAATAAAGGGCTGAATAAAAAAAGGAAGAAAAACATATAGTCCTCTGTTCAGGATTTTATATCTTTTTAATAGCAGCTGTTTTAACTTTCCTAAATGCGTCCTTGAACACTTTTATGAACACGCCGTGGCTGCCTGCAATTGTTTACTTCGTTGGAATATGTAAAGTGACCGTAGTATGGTCCTTTTAAATTTGGTCAATGTCAAAGTTCAGTTAATATTTACATACTAAATACAGTGCTTTAAAAACATATTAACAAATATCTTTTAATAAAAACTATGCCTGTCCTCATACCAATATTAGGTAATATTTAATATATCATACAAAAAAAAGTAAAAAGAAAGTGGACTATTTATTTGATTAAAAATATATATTTCAGATTAGTGTTTTAGGGAACACGTACTATTAACCCTCAAAGGTCACACTAGTGCGAATTCGCACCACCGTTTTTTTTAACAGCTGGCATTTCTCAGATTCGGAGGGTTCCCCCACCACGATAATTCCTTCTATAGCCCAAATAGTCGAGCCGTACCACAGCTGGCCTCAGTCTGTTATTGTCGCTCAAACTAGAGAGTCTGAAAAGTCCGATCGGTGCGAATTCGCACTAGTGTGACTTTAGTGTGGATAAAAGTGTGGGTGAATTCATATATCATATAATCTAGAAGTAAAGTGAATTGAAATGCAAATTTCGTTCGTTTACCTCGTTTTACGTGTCGAATAGACTAGAACATTTATTTAGTTTTGTTAGTAATTTTTCAAACATTTTTTTTTCATTACCAGTTTAATTAATATTGTAACATGAATTTGTCAATATTTATGGATAATATTGTTTAAATTAATATTTTTATACAAAAGAGTGCAAAATAAACATCAATTTACAGAAAAGTAGCCAAAAATCACAACTTACTATATTCCAGATACCGGGAAAAATGGATGTCACTTTATCAATATGGGATATTTTTTTCTTAAAAATATAGCCTCTCAACTCGAAAATACTTTCTTTACTTTTCCTCTAACCATTATTTATATAAAAAAATAAGAAGTTAAAAGTCATTTTTTGAAAAATGGTTTTTTTCTTTCACATTTTTTATTTAACAAATTAATTTTTTTCAAAACTAATTACATCACTCGATTTCTCGGAAAATTTTACCCCAGTCTTGATTACGCTAGTTTCGTTGGCAAATAAAGAAGACCTAAAGTTTCAAAGTGGGCAAAATCCCAATTCGCACTAGTGTGACCTTTAAGGTGTCCCACCCTAAGTGTGACCTTTGAGGGTTAACCCTGAAAAGGGATCTCTACTTAAAGTTACATCAATGATAGACAATACATCGGCAAATTTTGCTATGAAATGAGTTTTTATTTATTTAACCCACAACTTAAAAAAAAAAACTAGGACACAATTGCATATTACAATATTAACAACTCTGTTGTTTTTTAAGATATTAAGTTGATATTTTGCACAGACCTTTACCTTCTGTCGACACATCTTTTGTGTAATTTTGGTCAAAAAAAATTGTTGCGTGAACGGAGAAAAGGGTGGTCGTAGTACCCATTGGCCTCCCCCAACTTTTTCTTGCACAGGCTTATGATTTAAATATATTGCTAGGTTTTATTTGTTAGGACTTCACATTAAAAAAAGTGTATATCGACAAATTGACTTTATTTTAGTAAGGTTGTAGTTCAATGTTCTAATTTACTTAATCCAATTTAAAAAATTTAAATTTATTATAAATATTTTAAAATAGTTTCAAACATCAACAACAATTGAAACAATATCTAAAAAAGTTACAAACTCTCATAAGCCAAACCCAAAATTAAAATTTTGCAACAGTGAAAAAAAGAAAATAAAGACATTTTTGGTAAAAAAAATCAAGATCCTTAAACTATAAGCATGCACAGGAAAAATATACCTACTACAGGAAGAGCAATTATTTTTTTGACCAAAATTACACAAAAAATGTGCTGGCGTAAGGTATGTGCAAAATTTCAGTTAAAAAAAAAATACAGTTTCTACACTCTATATCTTGAAAGATCTAAATGAAAAATAGTATAACGGAGATCCTATTATTTTCGCTCAAAGAATCTGTGGTTAATGGCTTGATCTATTTTTCGTAACATCCAGTATGAAATAATTGACTTTTTTATGTATTCTCATCATACTTTAATATCAAAATTGCAGAAAAAAACATTTTGACCGTCAACTTTATTGTTCAATTATAGTTTTGTACTAAAATTTAGAGGACTGATACAGGGTATAAGAAAAATTAAACCGCACCCCTTATATGAACACGTTTTAATTTTTAAAACACCCTGTATATTTTTTATTTCTGTTTTTTTGGTTTCAGTACCACGCTTAAAAAAAAATTATTAAAAATAAATACATAGTTTATAACCGTTAAGAAAGTTTCATATAATTATAGTATATTTTTTTTTAAATAAGATTATGCAAAAGTTTGAGATATAAAGTAACTCGTTTTTATAAATATGGCGCACTCAGTACAGGTACACCAATGTAAGTAAAGTTGATTAAATGAAATTAGACAATCGATATAGCTTTTTGAACATAGATTTTTTCCTAGGTTAGTTTTGCTGTTCATGCCCATTAGTCTAAAGGCGTTACTCTTAGTCAGCTCAAAAAAAAATGCAACATTGTCACGGTACTCTCGATTAACTAGCGAGTTGTTACGGTTTTCGAAATGTTGCATTTTTTATCGGATATAGAATTTAGTCCCTAGAAGGGTCTAGGTAATATTTACTAATATTTGAACATTACAATATACTTTTTAGCTTGTTCGAGTAGGATTTTTTAAAAGGCCAAAACCTAGAAATCACGGAGAGGATTTAAGCTTAAGATCGTTTTATTTTCTCTTAGCGCGTGATATATGTGGTCTGGCTTTAAGGGATGACCACCTTGTATAAAACTTTTTCTTCAATTTTTAGATGCACATTACAGAACAAAAATCGTTCACTGCAAGGGGAAATCCGACACTAATAAAAATATGATTTTTTTTAAACTACATCTTAAACTTAAATTCCTTGTGTAACACAAAATATAAATTTTTATTCTATTATAAAGGTATTAAGGTCGTATAAATTCAAAACATTTATTCCTAAAAAAATTCTATCAAATGATGTCAAACAATGTATTTTGATACCAAAAATTTAGGTATGCGGAAGATATCTAACCTCAAAGACAAGATTCCCAACTGTTTATAATGCGGGAAACAACTACTCTATGGGCTACATAACCCAACTAGCACTGAATTATAATGTCGTGGATTTTGGTAGGTCGAAGGTGTATTCCACGTCAGGGCCCCACGTTGGGCGCCAGATCGCGGATTTGGATAGGTCGGTTTAGTTATGCATTTTGATTGATCTGACTAGTTTGCGGTGGAGTTGACCTACCATCGTCTTCCCTGAGCATATTGAGATTGTCGTAAACCCTCATAATGGGTCCAGATGGAGCGTTTTTGTCTGATTCCATTTCCACTTGAGGTGCGGAAATATTAGTCGCCTGCTTGTCGATGATGGGGTTCCCAAATATGTCGAGCCTTTGTTGTGTGCTTTGGGTCGATGTTCCACGTTCTAATTGTTTTGGTTGTCCTAAGACGTACTTTGTGCACGTGCACTTTATTTTAATAAAAAGTTGTATGATTTAAATGTTTTGTGTAACGGGTTTTCAACTAAACCCTGTATATGCTTGTTTATCACTGGCATGGCGGATTTGTTACGCTAGTGTCTGAAAATCACTGTCTATTTGCATTGACTAAAATTACTTGAGTTTATAATGTACGGCCTCCTTAGAGTGCCGGTACGGTAAGCTTTAGAAATTTTGTATGAATTGCAGCGTAAGATCTCTATATGACTGGCAGCATGAAAGCAGCTCGGTTTGGTAAATTTTAGGAGAATTATAACGCGAAATGCGGTTTCTTAAAAAATTCAAGTGTATAGATTTGCTTAGAAGTATGCAATGCCATAGTTACTTATACTATTTGAGATTCGGATCGAGTACATACTCTGGCCAGGCATCCGCGCTCTGGTTATTAAACTGCGGGAAACCTGAGTTGACGTTCGTACACTGGCTGAGTGGATTTCGCTAGGCGGCCTGATGTATGATCCAGTTTAATTCCAGAAATTTTGGAGCTCGTCCTCTGCGATTACGGCCGTCTGTGAGTGGAATGGTTGAAGGACTGAAAATGATTTTAGTTAATACCGACCTTAAGGCCCTTTAGGCGTGTGAGTTTGAAGTCTCTAGAATATTTTTATTTTCGCCGTATTTTGAAAAGGGCGGTGAAAAATGTTGGCGCTCCTCGCGTTTATCAGCGACCTCGGGGGTTCCAAGGGAACGGATTACTCTCGGCAGCAATCGTTTCATCCGGTGGTTTGGCGGGTGATTTTTGAAAACATCGGTGAAATTTTCGAAAAGTAGCTCGTCGCATGCATGACAGCATCGTTGTGAGTGTCTCTGGTACGATTCATTGCGACGGAGCCTCGCGGGAAATATTGGAAAGGTCGGTGAAAATTAAGTTCCTCTTGAAGAATTGTTGCGGGTATTAGGAACATAG